GGCTGCTGGCCGCCATGTAGGCTGACAGTTAATTTGCATAAGGATATGCTGATTAGCCAATAGGAAGGGTAGCGGTCATACGCCAATTACCATGTTTCTCTTTTATTAGTGTAGATAGATCTTTTTTCCTACCCCAAAAGTATTTATTGAGAACTTGTCATTCAAAGTACTATTTTTGGCCCTGCAGAGTATTCAGATATAAATAATGCACATTTCTTCTCTCAAATCATACAGAATAACACACATTTTATTTTATTGCTATAATACAAAGTAAGTCATAAATGATTTAAAAAAAGTGTTGAGGGTGTTTCAAAGGAAAGAACCTCAATGATGGGGAGTCAGGAAAGATTTCATAGAGGAGGTGATGTCTGAGACAGGCCTGGATTAATGAATAGGATTGTTATAGATATAGGAATAACAAGAAGAAGATGAGAGGGAACATAGAGTATGTATAGAGAAGTGAGTAGTACAACTTTCTCCAGTGAGACGGTAATGTTTCCGAGGAATTGAAAGTACTTTTGAAAAGATAAATAGAGCTCCTTAGGCAAAATTCCTTAACTGTACAACAAAAATTTATTTAATTATGTTGGAAACTATTACATTATGTTGGAAGTAGTAAACTCTATTTTGAGTAGTAAGGTAGTAAAGTTAGAGCTTTAGTTTAGGAAATTAATCTGACCCTGATGTATAAGATGGATTAGGGTAATGAGAGACCTAAAGTACAGATACCATTCATTTTCAATTCATGCATTCATTCAGCAAATATTTATCGACCAGTTATGATACTAATTTAATAGTCTAAATGAGAAGTAATAGTTTTTACTGGAGTAGTGGCATAAATGGTAATATGGAGGGAAAAGATGCCAGAGATATTGTGAGGTAAGGGAGGTAGAATTAATAAGACTTAGCAAGAGATAAAAAAGAGGAATAGGATTCAAAGATATTGTCAAGAATTAGAGAATGATAATGCCTTTTTAACAGAAGTATGTTGGGAGGTCTTTGTGAAGATGAAAATTTTGGTTTTAGGCATGTTAAGTTTGAGGTGCTGGTAAAACATCGAGATAGAGGTGTT